TCTGCCATAGCTCCGGTGCTGCGGTGTGGTTGTGGGGCCGGAGGGGGGTTAGAGGAACCTCCTGGGCCTTTTGCTTGGATGTGTATGTTCGGGGGGGGATTTTGGGTTGCTGCACTTCCCATCCATCCGTGTGTGCCACTCTCAAATTGACACCACCACCACTTGTGCCATGTGCTGAGCTGCTGCAGGCTTGGCTCTGAGGGCTGTGATGGGGCGATGCTGGAGGGATGAGGAGCCCCCTGCACCCGGAGTGCTCAGCATCGGGTGATGCTGCTGGCGCAGTGTCCTGCAGACGGGGATGCAGGTCTTGCCACCAGAGGTGTGGGTGCCGCAGCCCTGCACAGAGCAGGCATCCAGCTCGCCTCGGGGCACCTCAGCGCGACCGGGCTCGTTTGGGGGTTGGTGCTGATGGTTTTTGGCTTGAGGTTGGACTTTGTCAACAGGGAGTACCTTGGCTGGGAAACAAACGGAAAACGAAAGTGATGCTGATGAACAGAAAGGAAACCAGCGCGGGGCCCCTCCCGGAATCCCTATTTAAGCGGAGGCTCAGCCACTGCCGGGTTGGGGACCGGGGGACCAGGACCGTTGCTTCGTCTCTGCTTTGCTCCCCCCCCGGAGCCGGCTTCGAGCGCTGGAAGGGTCCGAGCACGGGTGAGCAGTGAGCAGCAGCGGCGGCGGTGGGGCAGGACCGGGATGCGCGGTGGGGGGGGAAGACCATGGTTTGAAACCGGTACCCCCGCGGCCGGGGTCGGGGGGGGCCACAGAGCCGGTCCCGATAGCAGCGGGTGCGGGCAGCGCTGCCCTCGCCCAACGCCGGCTCCCGCCGCCCGGTGCCGGTACCGGCTCCCCCCGATGCCCGCGGGCGGGGCGAGGCGGGGCCGCCGTGATGCAATTTCCGCGAAGTCCGGCCCCGGTTTGAATGCGGGGAGGCCCCAGGAACGAAACCACCGGAGGCGGCGAGACCCCGGCCCCCCACCCCGAGGTGGCGGCGGTGAGAGCGGCGTGGGGGGCTCCGGTGGACCGGGGAGGGGGGGATCGGCGCTCCCGGTAGCCCTGCAGCGGGCTCTGGGGAGCTACACGGTTTGGGGAGTTCCGGGGGGGCTCATCCCGGTCCTGCCCCGGCTCGCAGCATCCCTGCGCCTTGGGGGGGGGGGTCACGGTGTTCGGGTGCGCAGCCCCGGGCAGGGGGACAAGGATGCGGGTGGGAGCTCCCAGTATAAAGTGAACTTTTTATACTGGGGTAATGGGAACGCGGTAGTGAGGGGAGAGGTGCCTGGGCAGCGGTGTCACGGTGTCACCTGGCAGCAGCCAGCGCGGTGCCAGCTCCCTGGGTGGGACACGGTGTGAATTGTGTTGATGGATAAGACTGGGGCGAGGAGGGGCCCCGAGAGCCTCTAAGGTTGCTTTTGCCCCGGAGGCGAATACCAAAGGGGGTGCGATTTTCGTGCAGCCAAATAACTGGAGGTGATGGTGCCAAACCCCTCCAGCCCGCCTGGTCGCTGATGGGGAGCTGGGGGATGCGGCACCGGTCCCACATCGCTGCTCCGAGTGCTCACACAGGAGAGAGCAAAAACTCCCCCCGAGTCCCAGCTCCGGTGCTCGGCAGGGACCAGGAACCGGGTCCGGGTCCTATCCCTGGGTGCCACAGGCCTGTCCCCACCCCGGCACGCTGACCCCCTCCCCGGCTCTGATCGAGGGGCACTTGGCTTACTCCAGCGTAGCGTTGCCTAATCCCTGTTAATCATTAAGCAGGCAGGACCTGACAAAAGGCCTCCGGGATGGCGGCGGGAGGGGAGCGTTCCTCCGCCACGGCCGCGCTTCCCTTCACCCTTCCCAGGGGAATGGGGTTATTCCTGGTGTCAGCGCGGGCCTGGGGGTCTCGGTGGGACGCGGCGTGGCCCGGCCCTGACCTGGAGCATCTGCTTGAGGGCAAAGGAAACGCGATGGTGTGGGTCGGGTTGGTTTGCAGGGAGGCTGCAGCGGGTGCCTGTGGCTCTGTTGGTGCCTGCTGAGGGTGTGTGCGATCGGGGGAGACGGGGCTGTGGTTGGTGCAGGGGTACAACAAACCACCCGCAGTGGGTAAACCACCCATCAGTGGGTGCAAGTGGCTTTAAACACCCGGCTGGGCTGTTCAGGACCGCTGGGAAGGGGTTGCTTTGCTTAAAACATGCGGAATTCAGCGTGCAAACCATGGGCTGGCTGGTAAATGGGGAGCTCAATCCGCTCCCACTTCCCTCCGGGCTCTTGGATTTTGCCCTGTTGGTATCAGGGGGTTGTTATCAGTAAGACAGCTGTCTCCTGGCTCACCTCCCCACGCTTCCTTGTGCCTGCATCTTTCCTGCATCCCGGCCTGGATCCCAAAAGCTCCCGTAGCTTTCCCCTCTTTCTTTCCTGGTATAAGATGGTTGTAGAGAGGAAGAGGCTTGAAGTTCAGTGCTGGTGCTGTGCGGAGGCTTTAAGAGGGGTTTGCACTTCCCCTTCCTCTTCCCTCCCACCTCCAGCCCCAGAGCGTGTCCTGGCAGCTTGCTCCACATCCAAGGCTTTCTTCAACAAAATAAACAGCAAGGGAATTGACCCTTTAAAGGCGGAATGCTCCCTCTTGGCTTTAGCAAGCTGGGATGTCCTGCCTAGGCATGAATGCCAGCAAGAGCCCAGCTGTCCTGCATGGTCCTAATGTAGTTCTTAGAGCTTTTAACCATCAGGCCAGCGTTGTTGCTGCTGCAGGACTGCTCCTCCTCGGGGCTCTGTGGCTGTGGACGCACTGGGACCAGGAAGCTCGGCTCCTGCTCCATGGAGCTGAGTGCCAGCGGTCAGATTCCACCCTCTCTTTGTGTGCTACCGAGGTATTTTGGAGTTGCGCAACATCTGTGCAGCTGGTGACAAACCCGGGCCCTGAGTGCCTTTCCCAGGAGGGCTTGTCCTAAGGAAGAGAATTCCCGAGGAAGGAAGGTGAAGCTGCTGTCGGAGGGAAACTGCAGTGTTCCCAGGGCTGCAGATGTTAACCCTGCTTCAGCTGGGAGTGTGCTTTGGGCCCTGCTAGCTCCAAAGGAGCTGAAACGTGCCCCCAAAGGTGCAGGGGTCTCCTTTCCTCCTGCAGCCAGGCATGGGATGTGCTCAGGACAGACCATGTCCCCCCAAACCTCTGCCTCAGTTCCCAGGGCCAGGGGTTTGGCAGGAGCAGCCTCGGATGCAGGATCTGCATCCCCAGCACTCTGTTGCCTTTGTGGTCTCACTGGGGACCAGTGGAGCATCCCTTGGGAAGCAGACGCAGTGTCCAACCCTTCCTCCTGCCTTTTTGCTCTTTAGAGCTGCTCTCTGACGATTTGGTTGTTTCCCAAGTTATTTCATGTCAGTGCAAAGCATCTTCTTTATCTTCGTAAGGGGGATGGCTGTAACCTGCCCGCTCGGCTGGGGCTTTGGGCCTGGGTACCCACAGAATGCAGCGCAGGGGTGAGGATGCTGCCTGAGCAGGCCCACGCTGGTCCCTGCAGATGCTGTAGGTTTGGTCAGTTCATAGCTGAGAGGCCAGGCAGAGCCATGGCAGGCCCGTGCTGCCCATCACACCGCTGCCTGCAGGGGAATGCTGCACGTAAAGGTTCGGAAGCAACGGCACAGAGATGAGTGTGTGTGTGGGGGGATTTAGGTCTTGGCGTGGCCCAGTGACCCAAACCATGGCAGAGGAAGTGGCAGCGCTGCTGTGGGACTCTAATGCAGGGTCTTGCAGCTCACCAAAGCAGACACCACAATTGTGCCCAGCGCCAGGCCCGCTGCCAGGCCTTGGGAGATAAAGAGGGCTGGTGTTTACCCACCGAGCGCGTGTCCGAGCTGCGGAGGAGGAGGATGAGGTGGCTCCTCCATCGCTTGGCAGCAGTTGGGTGCTGTGGTGCTGGGATGGGATGTGAGGGGCTCGCTAAGGATGAGCTGGGAGAGGGGGGGGTGATGCTGTGGCTGCTTCCCCCTTCGGTGCTGGTGCCGTGTTTGCTGCCTGGAGCTTCAGCCGGAGCAGCAGCTTCAGCACTGGCCAAGTTGGATGGGGCTCAGAGCAAGCTGCTCTAGAGGAAGGGGTCCCTGCCTGTGACAGGGCTTGGAAGTGAATGAGCTTTAAGGTCCCTTCCAGCACAAACCAGGCTGTGGTTCTGTGCATTCAAGGTGAGCTGTAGGACTGCAGGAGCAGCGCGGTTCACCCCCTGCAGCTGCGAGTGCTGCTCTTCCCTGTGCCACTGGGGAGCCGGTCCTCGGAGCCTGCGGGTCAGAGCTGGAGGCGGATGCTCGGCACGAGGCTGGTGGCTTTCCTTGGCAGCACACCCTGGCCACAGACCTGCCCCAGCCTGCTCCCTGCATGGCCCAGCCGCAGAGCCCTGCAGCAGCATTCCCAGGGATGCTCCTGGCCTCCCGTTAGCCAGGAAACTGCCCCAGTGCGGCCGGGGGAGGACAGGGAGCAGCGAGTCCCCTTCCTCTCACCTTCCTCACCACGGGGCCAGGGCTCTCCCGGCTGGGTGGTTGCCAAGATGCCCGCAGGTCCCTGTTCCAACCTGCCAGTGCCTGGCCTCGGGTGCTGCATGCGAGGAGCAAAGGGGGCGGCTGCTTCGTTAATGAATCCCAGTTAAACCTTCTTGCCGCAGGGGAGAACGGGCTGGGGCTTGGAGCTGGCTCTGTCCCGCTCGGTGCGGAGCTGCCGGGATGCACCCAGGGAACAGAGCAGGGAAAAGAAAGAGAAAGTTGGCAGGAGCCAACCGGGACAGGGGAGGCGCCAGGAGAGGGAAGAGGAAGTCGGATGGTGTGGTCGGGGAGGAGGTTGGTGGGGACTGTGCCGGGACCTTGGGGTCAGGCTCCTGCGCTGGGAGGTAAATGCTGATGGGCTATGGCACACCAGGGACCGAGCTGAGCCCCATGGAGAGCCCTCATTGCTCAGCCGCAGGACATGGTCCCCTGGGACCTGGGCTGGTGGGTGAAGGGAGCCGGGTGGTAAGGAAGGGGCAAACCTTGGGTGCTGATGGTGCGTGGTGGGTTTGGGTGCTGGGTGAGGCTCGTGGCTGCTCGGTGGTGAGCGGGGCAGGGCTGTGCCCAGCCAGGGACCTGCTGATGCTTCCTGCTAAGTCTCTTGTTCCTCGTTTCTTTGCCAGGCTTTGTGACCCCGCGCCAATGGCTGGCAGGTACGTAGCGAGCTAGGACACGGCCGCCCCATGGCACCTCCTTCCCCTGGCATCGCCTGGTAGGAGCTTCCCACCGTGAAGTTTTGCTCCGCTGGAGCCAGTGCTGAGGATGACGACGGCGAACGGCCCCGCGGTGCCGCTGGGCAAGCTCCAGCAGCAGCTGGAGCTGTGCCTGGTCTGCTCCAAGTGCAGCGTGAAGGAAAACGAGATCACCTACCACCTGCGCGACGTGGAGCACAAGTGCATGTACGAGATCCTGCTGGCCCGCCGCCGCGGCCGCCGCGGCACGGCGTGGAGGAAGGTGTCCCGGCGGCCGGGCTTCCCCACTCCGGCGCGCTATGCCGTGTGCCGGTACTACGTGATGGGGCTGGGCTGCGGCAAGCACAGGAGCCAGTGCACCTTCGCCTGGAGCCCCGAGGAGGCCGCGGTGTGGAACTTCGAGCGCGAGCAGCAGCTGGAGCGGCGCTGGCTGAAGGCGGCCGTGCTGCAGGCGCAGCTCGGGGGTCCCCCCGCTGCCAACGCGCCCTCCGCGGCCGCCGACATCGCCAGCGAGTTCGGGGGCTGCTTCCAGGAGATCTGCCGGCGATGCTTCTTCAGCTGCCCGCAGCGCATCACCGCGGGCGGCCAGGGCCGGCTCTGCAGGACGCACCGCGCCTGGCAGCCGCTGCTGGTGCATGTGGTGTCGGACAGCCGGAGGAAGCAGCAGTACACGGCCATCCGGCCCTGCCCCGAGTTCATGTCCGCCTTCAGCTACTGCCGCTTCGTGTCCAGGGGCCAGCCCTGCAAGCACAACCCGCAGCGCTGCCAGTACGCGCACAGCGACGTGGAGATGGCCGTGTGGCAGGCGGAGAGGGAGCACGGCTTGGTCCGCTCCGAGCTGCTGCCGGCCGCGGGCAGCGGCGGTGCCGGCGGCGAGCCCGCGGCCCCCGCGGCGGTGCAGTTGTACTGCCGGTTCTGCATGGTGACCTTCAGCTCGCAGGAGAGCTTCGAGAGCCACTGCTTGTCCGTGGAGCACTTGCAGATGCTCTCGGCGGACACCTCGGTGCAATGGGTGCACCGTGCGCCGCCGCTCGGGCTCACCAAGTTCTCGCTGTGCAGCAGGTAAGGCACGCACGTGGGGCAGCGGGGAAGGTGGGTGGGATGGGGGCTGGCTCCGTGAGGAACCCCATGGAGCACCCGGGACGCCTCTCTCCTGACAGAGTGGACGTGTGTGAGATGGGGAATAGCTGCACCCAGGCGCATTCTGTTGAGGAGCTGCAGGAGTGGATCCAAAGGGTGAAGGTTGCCGTGAAGAAGAAGAAGCAAGCACTCAAGGAAGGGCTCTTGTCCTACCAGGACCGGCTCATTGCTGAGTATAAGACGTGCTCCAACGAGGTGTTGATTGTGAGTTGTGGGCAGGGTGGGAGTGGGGTGATCTGGCACGTCACAAGAAGCCTCTTGTGTGAGAGCATCACCATCCTAACGGTGATGCAGAAGGGGACGTTGTGACAGGATGGGCGGTGATGGTTTTATCTAAAAGAAGGGAGATTCAGGCTGGATGTGAGGAGGAAATGTTTTACAATGAGGGTGGTAAAACCCTGGCACAGGCTGCCCAGAGAGGTGGCGAATGCACCATCCCTGGAGACATCCAAGGCCAGGCTGGATGTGGTTCTGAGTGGCCTGATCGAGTTGGAGGTGTCCCTGCTCATTGCAGATAACCTTTGAAGGTCCCTTACAACCCAAACCATTCTATGGTTCTCTGTAGCATCCCCTTTTGAGAAGGGCCTGCTCAGGGTACTTGGCCACACTGCAGTGAGTCCTTTTGTGCCCCAAGGCTGCTGCATGGGGACACTGAGCAGTGGATGGGGACTGAGCATCAGGATTTACCAAGAGTCCCCTCCTGGGGGGGGGGGGGGGGAGGATGCAGGATGAAGTCAAAGGATGCAGCTGGCCCCATGGAGGGCTCTACAGTGGGTCCCTGAGGGGCTGCCTTCAGTCTCACTCCTCTCATGCCTCCCCTACAGATGTCCGAGCACGTCGAGGGTGTCAGGGTGGTGTGTGAGCAGCCCCTGCTCGTGCAGCTGGAGGACAGGAGGATGAAATACCAGTGGAAGTTCAGGGTGCACTCCCAGGTAAGGCCAGCACAGCGGGAGGCTGTGAGCCACTGCCAGCGCCTGCTCCTCCGCACAGCCCCGGGGCCTTGGGGGTTGCTTGGGTTGGTTCTGATTTCTGGAAGGGGCACCGGGGTTGGGATTTGGGGCTGTCCAAATGAGGATGCGGGATGGGGATGCGGGAGCAGCTCAGGCTCAGGCTGAGCTAGGGCTGTGTGTAAGGGATGCAGCCACCGTGCCTCCTGTCTCACCTCATTGCTGCTCTCATCACCTCCCACGTGTCACCACAAGTAACAAGGATCAGCTCCTTTCCTGCCCTGGCTTTTGTGGGTGTTGAGGGCAAGAGCCTGGCTCTAACTGTCCTCTCCAAGCCCAACGCTTCCTCTTGACAGCAGACTGGCTCAACTGCCATAGAACTGAAAGCTGAGGTTCTTTAAGACCTCAAAATAATTGCTGTGGGGTTGCACGAGGAAGAAGCTCCTTTAAGGAGAATCTCAAGTGCTCTGTAGGTCCAGCGCAGCAGCAGTTTCCAGTAGGAGAACCTCATCCCATGGGCTGCCCTCACCGCATCCCTGTCCTCTCCTCTCCTGGCAGATGCCTCTGCAGCACGTGGCACTCCTGAAGCGGGAGCCCGGAGTCAGCTTCTACCTCTCTGGGAACGGGCTGTCCCGGGGCCTCCACTACATCCGTGGGGAGCACGTGGCCAGGCTGCCCTCCTCGCCGCCCACGGCGCTGGTGGAGGTCTGCATGGAGAGCTGCACGCTGGGCGTCTTCGAGCAGTGGGTGGTGTTTGACTTCGGCAGCCGCCCCGTGCTCATACAGAAGGTGAAGGTGAAGGTGGGCCGGCGGGATGCCCCCCAGCACGTCCCCAGCAGCAGGCAGAGCAGCCGCATCGTCGACCTCGTGCGCTGGGATAGAGGCAACCGCATCGTCGTTCCCAGCGTGGTGAGGACTGCTGAAGACGTGGTTCTGCTGGCCAAGTACAAGCCTCCTGCGCTGGCGCTGGAATACCAACGGGAGGGTGCTGCAACCGTCCCCATCACCCGCCTCAACTATCGGGAGAGGATGCACAACTTCCTTTTCCGCGAGGAAGAAGCTGAGCAAGCTCTGATTGCCAAGTAAGTGCCAGGTTTGGATCCGGAGGGGTTCCTCGTGGCTGTGGACCAAAGGCCCCTTGCTAACCCTTGGGGCTGTGCTGCTGTTGAAGTCTCTTCTCTTCTGGGTTGGGTCCTGAGGCGCCTTCCCAGGGAAGTGGAAACGTGCCAAGAAAGACGGCTTGTTGGGTACTGATAACAGGGAAAGGGCTGGCTCTTGTCCTGTGCCCATGGATTAGCTCGAAGCACAGCTTCTGTCTCTGCGTGCCCAAGGGCCGGCAGACCCTCCCTGGGCGCAGGTGGCAATCCCCTCTCTGCAGCGGGGAGGGTGGTTGCTGAGCTCAGGGGCTGCTTCTCTGCTCTTCATGCGGGTGTTTCCTCCTTGCAGACTCAACCTGCGGGTTGTCATCTCGCTGACCCCCATGCTGCAGAGCCTCTCCATGGGGATGAAGTTTGCCCTCTCTGGTGAGCTGTTTGCTGAAGTGCCTACCCCTTACAACCTCTCGCCGGACACAGACGAGGGGTATCTGCTGAGCAGGTCTGTGCCCACTGCTTTGCTGGCACTTGACCCTCCTGTAGACAATCGGGTTTACGAGGTGAATGTGGAGCACAAAGCCACCACGGAGAAGACCATCTGGCTGCAGATACCAAAGAGATGCTGCTCAGAGCTGAAGTTCCAGCCAAACACGTCCCACAGAGTGGAAATCCAGTTCCAAATCGACCAGCTGCTGTTCCGGCAGTGGCACCAGGCTGTGGACCATCTGCTGGATGAGAAGCTGGTCCTACCCGATGTCGCCAGTTGCTCTATCCCCTACTCTCTTGGCTCACCACAGAAAGGGAACAGCAAGCAGAAACTCGCCATCTCCTTGATCACAGGCCAGACAATCAGCAGCCGGCAGGTCCCACCTCTTCTCATCTATGGGCCTTTCGGCACAGGGAAGACGTTCACCTTGGCCATGGCCACCATTGAGATCCTCAGGCAGCCCAACACACGGGTGCTGATCTGCACGCACACTAACAGGTTAGCAGGGGCGAGGGAAGAGGCAACCAGAGCTGCGAGCCAGGTCCAAGCGGGCTGGTCTGTTGCTTGCCTGGTGGGATGAGAGGGAGCCAGGGTGGATGAGATGGAGCCGAGCTGCCCTTTCCTTAGTATTCATTTCAGTTACTTGTTTAAATAAGGTCATTTTTATTTGATACGTCTCAAACGGCTGTAGCACTTCCTGCTAGGAAGAAGCCTGGCATGGGTGGAAGAGACAACATGTTCCTGCCTCATTATGAAATGGGGATAGAGAGACAGTTCTTTCTAGCCTTTGCTGTGCACTGGCAGGAGTAGGAAGCTGTTGGCTGACCTTGCTGGGATAACACGGTGCCCTGCTTGCCCTTGGAGACTGTGGTGCTCTCTGCACATGTGAGTTTTTGACTTTTCCAGGGAGACTTTGGGGAAGAGGAAGTGCAGATCCGGAGTGACTGCCATTGACTCTGCCCTCAGAGAAAGCAGGGAAAGACTGTCAGAATCAGAGCAGTTATGCTCAAAGAGTGTCCACATCCCATCCTGCAGGCTGGTACTGCCTTCGTTTGTAATGTATAATAGATGGGTGGCTGTTAATCTTAGCCTCTTTCAGGCTGTCTGCTTGCACTGAAGCTTCTTCTGTAGATCCTGCATAACCCTCCTGGGCTGTCAGAGGAGAGCTCTGTGTGACCTGGCCCTGGAGAGCAGCAGGGCCGCAGGTTTTGTGGAGCACATCGCATCGGAAGATGCCCTAGTCTGAACTGCCAGCTTCTGGTTTAAACCATACTCAAAATAGGCTTGGGATTGGTGGCTGCATAACCAGCACCTTCTCTGTGCATATGGGAATATCTCCTGGGATGAGAATATTGTCAGCCAAATCTGGGAAGAGTTTGGGTGTGTATTGGTGAATGATGAGCTAGCGCATTGGGATGATGGGAACAGCATTTGGGAACAGCACTTACAAGCCCTTGCTGGTTTCCCCTTTTGTTCCCCTCCAGTGCTGCTGACATCTACATCCGGGAGTACTTCCATCACTACGTGACCAACGGGCATCCATGGGCTGTTCCCTTGAGGATTATATCCACTGACCGTCCCATCAACCTGACGGACCCCATCACGCAGATGTACTGCTGCCTCTCTCCAGACCAGCGCTCCTTCCGGCACCCCACGCAGGCGGAGATCGACAGGCACCACATCATTATTACCACCTCTATGTTATCCAAGAACTTGAAGGTTCCCCCAGGCTACTTCACCCACATCATGATTGACGAGGCTGCTCAGATGCTGGAGTGTGAAGCTTTGGTTCCGCTCTCCTATGCCACTTTTGAGACCCGGATTGTCCTTGCTGGGGATCACATGCAGATCACCCCAAAGCTGTTCTCTGTTGGAGGGGGACAATCTGCTGATCACACTCTGTTAAACCGACTCTTCCAGTTCTACCAGAGGGAGAAGCATGAGGTTGCCACGAAGAGCAGGATCATCTTCAATGCGAATTATCGCTCCACTGCAGGCATCATTGAGTTTGTTTCCAAGCACTTCTACGTTGCCAAAGGCAATGCTATCACAGCCAGTGGGAACATCCCACCCCATCCTGAAATATACCCACTCATGTTTTGCCATGTGTCTGGTGTGGCTGAGAGGGATATGTCCATGATTTCTTGGCACAACACCTCTGAGATAATACAAGTGATTGAGAAGGTGAAGGAGATCTATCGGAGGTGGCCGGATGAGTGGGGTGTCCGAGATCTGAAGAGCATCTGTGTGGTCTCCCATGGGATGCAGGTATGAAGGAGAGCCACACGTTCCCCACTTGAAGGGGCTGCACACACACTGCTGACCATGCTATGAACGCTCCCTGATGAATGCTGGGCTCTATTTATGATAAACCCATCCCTCGTGCTAGTGAAAACGAGGAAGCTGGGGTCTTGCATGCCATCAGTGGCTTTTTGTGGTGCTCCCCGTTTGGATGGCATGTCATGGGTGGTCGGAGCAGGGTGGCATGGTTTAGTTGAAGGTTTCTTTCAGCATCTTGGGATTGTTCCAAAGGAAGAAGTTCTCTGCTGTTAGGGTGCTGAGGCACTGGAATGGGTTGCCCAGGGAGGCTGTGAATGCTCCATCCCTGGCAGTGTTCAAGGCCAGGTTGGACAGAGCCTTGGGTGCCATGGTTTAGTGTGAGGTGTCCCTGCCCATGGCAGGGGGGTTGGAACTGGATGATCTTCAGGTCCTTTCCAACCTGAACTATTCAGTGATCTTCTGGGCAGGTTAACTACGGGGCAGCCTATGGGCACTGGTGACAGCCCAGGACGTGTGGCTGTTGTTGAGTAACTTGCTCGGGGAACCTGCAGCTGAGAAGGGTGAGGGACCTCGGTGCTGGATGGGGACATTTCTGAGCTGGAGCCGTGTTCAGTCGCGCCTCTTTCTTTCTGACCAGGTTTCTGCAACAAGGCAAGAGCTGAGGAAAAAGCAGCTACAAGAAGTGGTGGTAGAAAACTACGAGAACCTGCCAGGTTTGTGTCTTGGGCAGCAGCTGGTCAGGCCTGGCTGCGTTTGAGCTCTTCTGTGGGCAGTCATGTTGGGGGACAGCAGGGTCTGCAGCAGCTACAGCCGCTGTGTCATGGGCAGAGGGGAGGGACGCTGGCTCATTAGCAGGGGTCTTTCCAGCATCTCCACGTTGTCTTCATTAAAATGGAAAACGCAGGCTGACCCCATGGCAAAATACCTCCCTGGGAGGCTGTGCGTGGTGCTTTGAGGCAAAGCTCCTCTCCCCGTGGCTCTGCCACCACCGCAGCCCAGGGAACGATGGTTAGGAGGGAGTGCCTGGAAATCCTTTGGCTGATTTCCATCCCCTTCTGGTTGGGAATTCTTTGATTCCGCCTTTTCCTTAGTGAGTAAGATTTCCCACTGAAGTCAGTCTGCACCCAGCTCCTCTCAAATATAGGCCCTTGCTTTGTGGGAGGGTGAAAACCCCCTTAGTGAGATCCCAGGGACTTGGGCATGTGTGAATCATGTGAAGCCTCAGTGGGAGAGGCTGATGAGGGAAGGGAATTGAAACCAGGATGGGCTGTGGGTACCGGTCACAGCAGAAATCCCACTGAAGGAGGAGCCTGCTGCTTTGAAGATGGGAGAGGGACAGGGCTGGGTTTGTGCTCAAGGATTTAGTTTATGATTCATCCATGGATTTATTATTATTATCTCTTTATTGTGCAGCTGGGACTCCTCGTGGTGAGAAAAACCAACCCCTGGGGTGTGTTTCTGACCTCCACACCCTTTCTTTGCAGCCTCTTCCCGGCTCTGAAATCACCAGGGTGCCTCTCGCTCTTTGTTATTTGTCCTTGAGGGGAGAGGGATTCTTGTCACTGCCCCGGTTCCCCTCGGTGCCCTGAGGAATGTGAGATTCACAGAAAACCCTGTGCTTGTGAGGAGGGGCTGGTGAGGGCTGCAGGTGGCACTGAGCACGCCAGGCTGCCCCATGGGCTGCCCCAGTGCCTCTCCCCCATCTCCAGGCACGTGGGTGGTGGTGGTGGTGGCCTCATGGTGTCCATCCTGGTTCCTGCCTGGAGGCCCTCACGATCCCCAAGAGCTGCTGGATCACATCAGGTCCCTCCCATGACTCAGCAGAGCGAGGTTACATCAGCCCATGGCCACGTAACGCAGCGTAGATGGGCAGGATCTTCTCTGTCGGGGTGCCATGAGTGACTTCTCCCTTGTCCCCTCCGGTGCAGGGCGGGAGTTCCGGGTCATCATCATCAGCACGGTGCACACCAGCGAGAACCTGCGCTCCTTGGCCTCCTACCACCTGGAGTTCTTCAACGAAGCCAGAGTGCTCAACACCATCATGACCCGGGCACAGTCGCTGGTTGTTGCGGTGGGGGATGCGGTGGCCCTGTGCTCCCACGGCCAGTGCAGCAAGATCTGGAAGCGCTTCATCCAGGAGTGCATTGAGAAGGAGAGCATCTTCCCCGAGGAGCTGACGATGGCCCAGATCAAACAGGCTGCGTGCGACAAGGAGAGCTGGAGCAGGAGGAGCCCGGAGGGCGATGAGGAGGACAGCGACACGGATTCCTGGAGCTCTGAGGCTGAGAGCATGAATCCCGATGATCCCATCCTCCAGGAGCTCTTAGATGAGAGCAAGAACGTGCTGGTGACGGTGTCTGAAGAAGGGCTGCTGAATGTGAAGTCCGAGTCTTCGAGCCTGTGGGAAGACAGGCAGGAGTACGTCAGCTTCTCTTCTCAGATGATGCAGGAGTACCTGCACATGCACCCCAAAATGTACAAGAGGTGCGAGCTGGTCAAAGAAGGGTTTGACAGAGCTTCTGCCTTCACCCTCAACGACTCCCCTGCCATGACCATTCAGATCAAAGGCAGAGTTCACTGTGGGACTGCTTTCAGCGGGGATGAGGTGCTGGTGGAGATCCTGCAGGGCAGCACCTCTGAGAGCGGCAGCCACCGTCCGCAGGGGAAGGTGGTGGGCATCCTAAAGCGCAGGGACAGGGAGCCCACCTTCGTCTGCATAATGGATGAATTTGATCCCCGGGTGATGATACCCATCGATCCCACGGTCACCAAGATATTCGTCCCAGGGCTGAAAGAGAAACCCAACGTCATTCCCATCCGCAGGCTTGTCAACGGGAAGTATAGAGTGGTCAGCTGCGAGAAGATCAGCCAGGAGATGAGGAGATGCCAGTTGTTCTGCGTCCAGGTTATCTCCTGGCGGGAAGGGTTTTACTACCCTTTGGGGATAATAACGGAGATTATGCATGCGGCACTGACTTTGGAAGAAGGCTTAAAGATCCTCGCCTTAGAGTATGGCCTGGAGAAGAAATACCCAGCTGCTGTCACCAAGGAGGCAGCCAGGTACCCGTCCAGCAGCAAACTGAGCTTCAGCAAGGAAAACCTGAAGGACTGTAGGAGTTACGTGACCTTCACCGTTGACCCCGAGGGTGCCAAGGATTTGGATGACGCTGTCAGTGTCAGGGATCTTGGGGATCACTACGAGATTGGGATCCACATTGCAGATGTAGCTGGCGTCGTTCCCAAAGGCAGTGCCTTGGACCTGGAAGCAAAGAAGCGGGGGGTCACCTACTACGCTCCCAACCAGGAGCCTCTGTGCATGTTCCCACCCCACATTAGCCAAGACGTCTGCAGCCTCCTGCCGCAGAAGGATCGTCGGGTGATCTCCTTGTTTGTCACCATAGAAAAGGGCACTGATGAGATGCTAAAGGAAGTCTTCGCCCTCTCTGTGATCCGCTCGGACAAGCAGCTGTCCTACGAAGAGGCAGAGCTCTTCATTAAGGACCACTACAAGGGAGCAGGACGGGCCCTCTCTTTCAATACCCTGGAGGACTGCGTGGCGGTGGCTTATCACTTCTCCAGGATCCATCGGAAGTTTCGGCTGCAGGAGGACTGTTTCTATGACCGGCTGGACGAGGAAAGCTCCCCAGGGAACAGGGGGTCCCATCAGATGATCGAGGAGTTAATGATCATGTTCAACAGTTTTGTGGCTGAGTTCCTCACCAACCAGGAGGACACCAGAAGCGTCACTCCTCTCCGGTGTCAGTGCGAGCCCAACCCTCAGCAGTTAATACACATGAGAAACAAGTACAGCCACATGCTGCCTTTGTCCATCCACCTCTCGCACCACCTGGGAGAGGTGACTCCTGCCCAAGACTCCTGTAGAAACGGGGCGTTCAGCCTCCTGGTCCCCATCTGGGAGCACCTGCAGTCAGCCGCCACTGTCCGTGACTTCCAGAAGATGCTGGACCTCATTGCTACTGATGACATCCACCCAGAGCTGGCCCCGGTGGCCCTGGAGTTCAGGAGGCTGCTCAGCCGCTCCTATTTCAGTCGCTCCAACTCCACCGTGCAGTCGAAAGCAGGCCATTACTCCCTGCACATGGACTCGTACACGTGGGCTTCCTCTCCCATCCGTCGCTACGTGGATGTCGTGGTCCAGCGGCACCTTCACTCCGTGCTCGGCAACAAGCCCATCGTCTACTCTTCGGACGACATTGAGTTTCTCTGTCATGACTTCAACAGGAAGAATTCCCAGGCGGTGATGTATGAGAAGAGAGTCCGCTGCCTGCAGATGACCACCCAGCTGAAGGCTCAGGTCCTGCAGAAAGTGGCCTTCGTGGTGGATGTCGAAGGGTTGAACAAATACTTTAAAGTCCTGTTTCCACTGAACAATGAGAGTCTCCCAGATCCCCAGGTCATTAACTACAGGTCTCTTCAGCTGATAGAGCAGCCCGTGTTCATGCAGCAGCAGAGCAGCATCAGGCTGACGTGGAAGAGGAGGGTGTACTCTGCGGAGAAGATGAAGGAGCACAGCCTGCAGGAAGGACCTCTCCGCAACCACAGTGTCACCCTCTTGAGCACCCAGACCTGGCAAGAGGTGCTTGCAGCCATCAGGAGCGAGGATTTTGGGAAGGCTGCCTCTCTCCTTCAGAAGAGCAAGGACCTGCGCCGGAGGCACATGGGCTGGGTACAGAAGAGCCGGTGCTTGCACTACGTGCAGCTCTCCCTGGAGCTGAAACCCGGTGACACGCTGCAGTTGCAGCTCACCACTGATGTCTACCGGGGCTTCCTGGTGCCCTTTGTGCAGTTGTGGTGCGTGGCACCGGGGTTCGACGTCTGCCTGCAGCACACGGAGAAGCCAATCGATTGCTTCTCTGCCTACGCCACGCTGCCGTCCAAAGACAAGTACAAGACCGCAGCGGAGTATAACAAGGTGTGGATGCTGATGAGTGCCATGGAGTCTGCTTCGTGTGCCGTGGCTGAAAACGACTCCATCGTCCTCCACGATGTCAAAATAACCTGGGCAGAGCAAAGGACAAGCAAAGGGCAGCTGCAGGGGAGCTTCCTCCTCAACAAAGTGTGTTTGGAGGAGTGCTCCATCGAAGTGGACTTCAGCCACTGTTACTTGTGCATTCGCTTGGGTGGGCTGAAGCTTCAAAGAGATGAGGAAAGCCTTAGCCACAGCCTCCAGAACCTGACTTTTCTTAACAAGGGCAGGTCAGAGAGCAAACTTGTGGTTGATCCAGATACCTACACCTGGGTGGCTCATGGGGTGACCGAAGAGTTCAACGATGAGGAGAAGTCGGACAGGGCGAGCCAGCATACGATGAACTTTTACATCCACTATATGTCTATGGAGAGCATCCCTGCGGAAATCTTGGAGGCCTCTGCCAGGTTCACAGTGGAGCTCATCCCAAAGATGCTGCCAGACGTGTAAGTGTGCTTCGTGGTTGTGCTCTGGTGAACGTGTCCATGCGGAGCAGCGGCTTCCTGCAGGACTCCTTAGCTGTATCCAGACAAGGCTTTGCTTGCCGTTGTGGCTGGTCCCGTGACAAATCCAGATGGCCACTTGCTCTTCTGGTTGACCTTGAGAATGGGGAGATAGGGGAAATTTCCCCAGGCATCTGTTTCTGGTGTTACTGGGTTGCTGCAGTAACGTGTCATAAAATGCAGTGGGAAACACTGGATCAGGGTTTGCTTAGAAGTGCTCCCTCATTTCCCAATCATTCCCCTTTGTTGTTGCTGTGAAGCAAGGTCTGCTCTTGTTAAAGCCAAGCTGAGGTCTAGTTCACCCTTCTCTGCACACAGCACGGGCTCTACGCACCCATGACTGTTCTGCCTTCATCAGGGCAAAACGTGTTTCCTTTTGTAGTGTGACTTTTAGGAAAGAATTGGAAGCCAATCCATCAAAGTGGGGTTGGCCACAGTAAAATGGAGCTGGGACGGAAGTTGTGCTCCTTGCTCTCAGCATCTTTACAAGCTCAGCTCTCTAGACAGTTGAGAAATAGCCCCAGATGCAAAAGAGCAGAGTAACAGTCGGTTTGGTTTAAGTTCTTTGTGGAAGGATTTAATGCAACACCATAGCAGAGAGAAAAGGATAAACAGGAGGGTTGTACAAAGCTGTATGTTAGTTGTCAGTAGTTGATGCAACATTCCATTCATTCTTACTTTGCCCTGTCTGTCAGACGGAAAGAGAAGGCAATCTGGAAGCTCAACTATGCCTCTGAGCTCGCCAAAAGCATCGCCCTTGGCCACGAACCTCCTAAAAGAGGTAGGTGCAAATATTCGCCTTTCTTACCTTGTGGCTCCTTGCTTCTGGCCAGCTTCTGGGGGTCGTTGCCATTGGGGTTACACTCCTAGACCAGGAGGTTTCCCTGGCATGGGAACGAGAGGAGCTGCTGGCCTGGCAGCAGAGGGAAGGAAATAGGGAATGCCCTGCAGAGAGTGGCATGGGTGATGTTTTAATCCCCCGGGTTCACAGAGAAGGCTCGTGGGCAGAACATCTTGGCATGGGACAAGGATTCCTTTTAGGTGGTCTTGTAAATGGGGTACACTCAGTACCTGCTGCATCCCCCCACTGAATCACTCATGTGTGTCTCCAGTAACCCCCTCTAAACTTGTTCTCTTGGCTCTTTGCTGTAACAGTGGCAACGTCCAAAATCCCGCAGCAAAAATCCTTTGATATCCCTGGCAACGAGAGGAAGCTGAACGAGAGTCAGAACCAGGCTATTCTGAATGCTCTGAGGAGGCCCTTCATGCTCATCCAAGGCCCACCAGGTAAGGCTGGGGGGACAGCACAAGTATGTTGTTATGAGAGACAGGTTCCTTTCCATAGGGCCCTTGGCTACAAGGGGAGGTAACGTGGGTTGGCATCACCCAGAGCTGTTCAAGGCAGACCCTTCAGTTCTTGGTTTTATTTCATGGCTGATCATCCAGATGCTGGTCTAGAGCATGGGTGTCATGGTCAAAGTGTTCTCACAACCTCCTTGTTTTTGTAGGCACAGGGAAAACTGTTGTTGGAACTCATATTGTCTACTGGTTCCATAAGCTGAATGAGGATAGCGTTGAGAAGGAGGAAATACTACCTGCTGATGAAGAAATGGCCAAGGGGAGAAAGTGCATCCTGTACTGTGGCCCATCCAACAAGTCTGTTGATGTTGTTGCCGGTAACTATTGGTTTTAAGCTCCTCAAGTGGCTTGAAGGAGAACATGTGGCTGTGAGCAGGGGCAGGGGGACAGAAAGCAGGGCTGGTCCTTACAGAAGACCAGAGGTGAGGACCAGAGAAGGTGGGGTTGATGAGTGAGGGGTGGGGAGAAGAGGGCACCTCACCGGCCATGAGCTTTCTGAGCATCACCAGCGCCTGGTGCTGTCTGAGCAGACCTGTTCTCTCTCCCCAGAGATGCTGCTGAAGATGATGACCTTGAAACCACTGAGGGTCTATGGGGAGGCCATTGAGGCGATGGAATACCCGTTCCCAGGGAGCAACCGGCACCTCTACCGCAGAGCCCTGCAGGATGCAAAACCAAAATACGAGCTCAGGTAGGACCTCGTGGCCCTGCAGGCTCTGAGGGTGCTGGGGAGGGATGTGTTCTGCGCTGGTAAAGCTCAACAAGCCAGAACAAATGTGGTTTCCCGCTGTGGAGCAGCATTATTGACCTGCTTTGTAATTAGTTTTCCCCTGTTGGAGGTGGATAGTCTAATGCAGGACCTGGTCAGGAAGGCCAGGTTGTTGGAAAGGTCCTAGAGTTTCCATCTTCTGGTTTTGAATGGCTCTAAAAGTCTCTGAGTTTACAGAATCCAAGACTCCCAGCCTGGTTTGTGTTGAAGGGAGCTTAAAGCTCATCCAGCTCCAACCCCTGCCACGGGCAGGGACCCCTTCCACTGGAGCAGCTTGCTCCAAGCCCCTGTGTCCAACCTGGCCTTGAACACTGCCAGGGATGGGGCAGCCACAGCTTCTCTGGGCACCCTGTGCCAGCGCCTCAGCACCCTCACAGGGAAGAGCTTCTGCCTAAGAGCTTCATTCCTCCTTGCAACTGCTGCAGAAAAGTGGGTGCATGTTGTGTCCTCAAGGGTGAACTGTGAGGTCTGGAGAGATGGGACAGTGTGGTTGTGACTGCTTTAGCTAATGGGGTTTCTCTGCATAGCAGGTGAGGTCTGCTGCAGTGTAGAGATCACTTGGGTGTGCGTTGGGGGAAGTTATTTATATGCTGGCTCTTTATTCAGTGAAATAATCCTGCATCACCGCATCCGCCGGGCGCCCAACCCTTACTGGCGGGAGATCTGCAACTTCGACTCCCGCATGAAGAAGGAAGAGCACATAACAGAAGAAGAAACCAAGAAGTGAGTAGAGACCCCGGTGAGAGGTGGCTGACGCTGGCCATGGCCCACCCCTCAAGCACTGCCTGCAGGAGCGCAGTGCAGCCATCTCTTGCCCCTGTGAGAAGAGCTTTGGGCTGTACCAGCTGACACAAGCTCATAGAGTGGGGGAAACTCGGTGGGTTTGTGCTGGCTTATGGAAGCCAAGGACACTTCTGCTCTGGTGCTGTTGTCCATCTGGACCAAAAGTCCTATTACGTGTCCATGACACGTGCGTCCTCTACCATAAGCCCAAGTAGGTTTCCTAAAGCATCCATCCAAAACCCTTCTGTGGATGCACCAGCTCATTCCAGGGAAGGAGATGGAGCCATAATCATTTAGGAAAGCGTAGCCTCTGCCTGGTTCCCGCAAGGGGAGCCTTCAGCTGTGTTCCTTATGCACAACCTGGTGTCTTCTGCCTCGACCACCAGGTACAAAATCCTGCTGTCGGCTGCTCGCATGTATGAGCTGAAACGACACGATGTCATCCTGTGCACGTGCTCCGCCGCGGCTGCCCCCTCCCTGGAGCAGCTCAATGTCAAGCAGATAATCATCGATGAGTGTGCCATGTCCACGGAGCCCGAGACCCTCATCCCCTTGGTCAGCCACCGCCACGCTGAGAAGGTGAGTCCCTTCCAACGATGTGCCTTTAGGAGGAGCTGCTCAGGGCTCTCAAACCTCTGCGTTTCTTCCACCCCTTATCGTGCTGCTCTTCCAAGTTCTCCCAGGTTTTAAGGTTGTTCTTGGTAGCATCTTGGTAGCGATGGTTTGTCAATGTTTCAGCCTGGTGCTTCTTTACAGGGTGGGGATCACTCCTACCAAAAAATGTCCTCATGCACTGGAATGGGTTGCCCAGGGAAGCTGTGAATGCTCCATCCCTGGTGGTGTTCAAGGCCAGGTTGGACAGAGCCTTGGGTGGCATGGTTTAGTGTGAGATGTCCCTGCCTGTGGTGGGGCGGTTGGAAATAGAAGATCTTGGGGTCCTTTCCAACCCGAACTGTTCTATGATTCTATGTACAAAGTATTAACGTGACAAGAAGCGCAGAGCAGATCTCAGTGGGCTCACTAGATGATGTCATTCTCCTGTCAGATGGGAACAAGACTCTGCACTATCCAGGTCAGGATCTGTATGTAATGCCCAACACGGTCTTTGCTTGAGCTTGCTGTAACCATAACATAAGTAGGCAACAACAAATGCCTGTGTACAAGCAGCCTTTCAAAGAGCTGGTTGCCTTCAGCAGTGCCTCCACCCTCACAGCTGAGGTGTCCGCTCTTCTCTCCAGGTTGTTTTGCTTGGGGATCACAAACAGCTACGGCCTGTGGTCAGCAACGACGTCTGCAAGACCCTCGGCATGGAGACATCTCTTTTTGAGCGCTACTGCAATCAGGCGCACATGCTGGACACGCAGTACCGCATGGTGAGCTCCGCCGGCGCCTTCCCTTCTTGCCAGCCTCAGCACGACGGCATTGCGGGCACAACCTGCCCGGGAAGATGCTGCGGGTTGAGGAGTTCCTTGGGGTTTGTTCACCTCCGTTTCTCCCCTTTTCTCTACCAGCACAAAAGCATTTGCAAGTTCCCATCGCAGGAGTTTTATGGCACGCGGCTGAAAACGTGGCCCCATCTCTCCCATAAGCCCAGTGTCTTCTATCACAAGGATAACAGCTGCTGCCCCATCATCTTCGGGCACGTGGAGGGGAAGGAGCAGAGCCTCATGATTTCTACTGAGGAAGGAAATGAGAACTCTAAAGCAAACCCGGAAGAAGTGGAGCAGGCGGTGAGGAGGGTCCTGGGGCACTGCTGGAGATGCAAAAGCAGGGGTTGTTGTGCTGGGATCATGAAGGGATGATGAATAGCCATGTAGGATAGAGCTCAATGGGGTGCAAGTGTCTGCCTGGTGTCCTCTCGGGTCTGGAGCACACCAGGATGGCCCTGCCGAGAGGCAGATATAGGGAAGGGTGACCCAGAGCAGGGGCAGCAGCACAGCCAGGCACCATCACTGCTCTGGGGTCAGGGTGCTGGAACGCTGGGTCCCTCTGGCCACCGCTCCCAGGTGAGGAAGACCCTGGTCTCCCCAGGTGAGGATAGCGAAGCAGCTGACACTAGATGGCACCATCCGGCCGGAGAGCATCGCCATCCTGAGCCCATACAACGCTCAAGTGTCCGAGATCAGCAAGAGCCTCCAGAAGGAGAGGATCCGCGGGGTGACCGTCTGCACCATCACGAAGAGTCAAGGTGAGGCTGGCAGGAGAAGGGAGCGTTGGGTCTGTTCTCTCCTGCCTCCCTGAGGGTCTTTGAGCAAATCTAACACCAGGGTCATTTCAGCCATGGAGGCAGCATCCCTGGGCCCAACTTCTGCACGATTTGTGATTATAACAAATCCTTTGGAAGACTTCAGGGCGCTCAAACAGGGTGAGATCGATGAAGATGCGAAGGTGGAGGCTGCCTGACGGGGTGTTCAGGAGCTGCCATACCACATGCTCTGTGGAGAGCAGCGATGAGCAGTCTGCCGGCCTCCCAGGCTGGAGAAACCCAAAGGGTGGCAGCCGTTTTGTGGGTCTCGCTTGTAGACACCCAAGTGTTTTGTAGGGCGGAGGGGTGGCCGGATGCTTCCTTCTACAAAGCCATGGTTCAATTCTGCTTTCCAGGAAGCGAGTGGAGATACGTGATCATGTCGACTGTGCGCTCCCGTCCCCGAGCGGAGATTGACAGGAACCCCACCAAGAGCTGGCAGAAGAAGTTCCTGGGGTTCATCACTGACCCAAACCAGGTCAATGTCGGCATCACCCGAGCTCGGGAAGGACTCTGCATTTTAGGTGGGTCTGCTGGAGGTGAGCACAGGCCCACGGGGAAGCAGGGTGCTAATGTGAGACATCACTGCCCAGGGCAGGGCGCTGGAACTGGGTGATCTTCAGGTCCTTTCCATCCCAAACCATTTTATGATAAAGGGGTGGAGGTCCAGACTAGTACAGGGAGCCTGGAGAAGAGAAGCTGTGTGGAGACCTCAGAGCAGCTTCCAGTATCTGATGGGGGCCCATAGGGATGCTGGGGAGGGACTCTTCATTAGGGACTGCAGTGACAGGACAAGGGGTAACGGGTTCAAACTGAAACAGGGGAAGTTTAGATTGGATCTAAGGAGGAAATTCTTTCCTGTGAGGGTGCTGAGGCACTGGAATGGGTTGCCCAGAGAGGTTGTGAATGCTCCATCCCTGGCAGTGTTCAAGGCCAGGTTGGACAGAGCCTTGGGTGCCATGGTTTAGTGTGAGGTGTCCCTGCCCATGGCAAGGGGTTGGAACTGGATGATCTTCAGGTCCTTTCCAACCCGAACTGTTCTGTGATTCTAACTGATGGTCTTGCTTTATTCTTTTAGATGCCTATGGGTTTGAAAGTGGTGTGTCTGGGCAGTCTGAAAAGTGGAGATCCTTCATGGCTCATTCCCAATGTGTACTATTGTTTTTTCTCACCCTCTGGTTGGGACCACATAGTTTCTGTCACTTGCAGGCTGGAGCAGTCTCCTAACACAATTTGGCTGCTTAGTTCCCTCCTAATCACGAGTAGGCTGTGATGTGTAGGGAAGCTGCTCACAGAGATGACAGCTTGGAAAAGGGAGCCTTGGGCTGTGGCTGAAGATGTCCCTATGAGTTACCCAGCACCGTTAGGCTACAAGGGTCAGACAGGAGTTTCCTTGATGTTGTTCAAGCCTCTTCTGGCCACTAACCTGCTGCCTCCCCCCTTCTTTGTGCCACCAGGGAACCGGTACCTCCTGGAGTGCAACCCTTTGTGGAGGAGACTGCTCCAGCATTACAGGCAGCAAAACTGCTACACTGCAGGCCACGGCATCTTAGTCATGAAGGCTTCAGCCGTCCACCGGTGAGGATGGGCTGTACCTCCACGAGCTCTTCCCTCTCGACCTGAACTGTGTTACGTGTGCCTTGGGAAGGACGGAATCTTTCCATTATTGAATCACCCGTGGAGCCAGATGCCGTGTGTGGGACGTTTCCTGCACAGCCACAGCTCCGCTTCAGTGCACCTTGGGGTGTTTAAATCAGTGCAACCTTGGATAGGAACCTTCAGCTCTAGCAAACCAAAAACCATTGGAAATGGAGGGATGGGGATGCGACTTGATCGATGGTGGTGCTGGTTTTTAACCAGAAGATGCTCAGCGGAGCCTCCATCCTGCCTGCCAGTGTAGCTGTGCTTTGGGGACCAAATAATCCATCCGCCGAAGGTGGAATTCCTGCGTGCAACGGAGCCACGCAGCAATCTGCTCTTTGCCATAGGGGACCAAAGCTTCTGAGTGCTACCAGTCCTTTGGAAACCAAGGCCAGGGGATTTTTAAGGCTTCTCGTTTCTCAAAGCAGAAAACCAATGTGTTTTGTTTTATCCTTGTTTTTAAATGAAGGAAGAAAGCAAAGAGAGAACCGTGTTCCGCTCTTTGTGCAGCTAAAACACTGTTCTCTCACCGTGTAAATACCACAGAGCCAAGGCCGAGTTGGTTTTGTAAATAGATTCACTTCTTCTTTGTACAAAGGAGGTCGTCCTCAGCAGCGTGATGTTAGTGGAAAGCAAGGACCTCTTCTTCCAGGAAACGCTGGCATTTGTAAGCCTATTTTAACCTCTTCTGGGTTCCATTTGGGATCTCGTCCTGGGGGAGCCCCCCCACCCCCTTTCCTACCCCATGTTTTTTTAAAGCTGCTTTTAATTTATTGACTTGTAACTCTGTGAATTGGTTTCACAGTTTTATGGCCTGAGTTTCTAAGGGCGGTGATGGGGAAGCGATCAATGTGCCCACAGCTTGCGTGCGCATCATGTACCTTTGTGGTTGCGAGGAGCCAAACTGCTGTGCGCTGGAAGGCATGATTCACTCGGGCAGGCTGCTGCGGCTGACACCGGTGCAGGGCTCTCTGCTGAATCACGGAGCTGCTTTTTGAAGCACGGTAGTTTGAAGGGAAGGGGTCTTTTATCTCATTTCAGCCCTGAATGTATGAAGTGCCTGCCTCAGGTCTCCCCAGGGCCACGCGCGTGGCTGTGTCTGGATGTGGGATGGAGCCAAGGCGCAATCCCGGTGGTTTCAGACCAAGTGTATTCCCTGCTGGGAGCCTGAGTCCTCCTTGGTGCAAGCGAGGGGTCCCCCGGACTTCACAGCACCACAGCCGGGATGAATTCTGTGCTGGGCGTGCAACCGAAACTGCAGCGTGGCTCTTTCCAGTGTGGAGGGATGTGCAATAAGGAAGCATTGTGTCTGGAAAAGTCCTTCATGAACGCTGCGTTTCTGTCTGCTCATGACTGTGATAGACTTGACTCAAGAGCTACAGAGAAATTCTGTTGTTCTCTCATTTTAAACTACCTTTGTGGGCTTGATCTGAACACCAGAGCCCACCCAGGCTTGCTCTTGTCTTATTGAAGCATGATAATAGGCATATGGCTGGTGATTCTGTGAGGGACAAAAGCCCATAGGAAGTATCTCCTGCTGGTTCTAAAGATGCTCGATGAAAGCAGGGAAGATGCAGCGTTCATTGTTCCTCTTTGAAGTCATCCTGGTTGGGATCTTCTTCCACACCAGCCTGGTTTTTGCAATTCCAAAGTAAGCTTGCACGGGAATCTTTTTGTGGACTACTGAAATGCAGTCTTGTACCTCCAAGGTGATGGGGAGGATCGCAGGAGATGCTGGAATACTTCAGCATGGTGCCAGCATTGTTCTGACAAAGTCACCTTGGTCTCTTTGGAACCAGCGGGTCTCATTTTCCTGATCTAATGTAAGCGTGGAGCCTCCTCCCTGGTGGTTTTTGCTGGTTATTCCATCACATCTAACACAAACTCACCCCAAGAGTGGTGGCTTCGTCCAGTGCTGTTGAGTGGAGTTTGCCCATGTGTTTGTATAGACCAGGAAAGAGACCTCACAAAGCATCTCCCTTGCCCTCAGTGGGGAAAAAGTGTTTGCTGCTACTCCTTGGAGGGTCATGAGATGCTTTGCTTGGTCACCTCTGTGTTGCAGGACAATAGACGTCTTCTTTTTCCCTCTGAGCATGCATTTTATAGGCACTGCTTGGAAAACACTGCCCTAGTCCACCCGAGCTGGGCTGGACTCTTGGGCTGCTTGGGCTGTGGGCAGGTACCTGTAGAGTTGGTCCTGCAGCTGCAGGAGTCAGGGATAGCTGGAAGTGCAATTAATCCAAGTTTTTATAGACTGTTAATGACAGCTTTATATCGCGTCCTTGTCCTTGTGCTAATGGACAGAGAACCACTGACATGAATAGAGACAAGAGAGTTCCAAGCAGTCCGGTTTCATTTGCACACAGAGCTTGGAATTTACTCCTGAATTGAATTTTCTGTTCAAGCACATGCTCTTCAATGACCAAACCTTTGGTAACTCCAATAGGAATCCACTGGCAGCACAGGGTGCCTGTCCAGTCCCAGGCTCTATGTTTTCTGCAGCTCACAGACAAAAGAACCTTGTTGCAGGACACAGATGTGGATTCATCCAGCAGGAAAACTTCCTTTCCTTGGCACTAGTTAGAGCTTGGGCCTGCGCTGAACCAGGGGAACCTGTGCAAGCAGGAAGCAATGGTCCGTGGGGTTGTAGCCATCCTCCTTGGGCTGGCGGTGACCCCACAGCCATCAGAACAGGGAGACCTCTCCTTGGCTGGCAAAGGAGAGGCCCCTAGGACCGTTCCTGAGGGATTGGACAGATGTGTGTAGGACAATCAATTTACTGCAATAAATTGTTGGGTTTTTTTAAATAGAAACGAAATGTTAAGTGTCATGAAGTGTAAAATTGAGGAACTTTAGATGGGGCAGGCTTTTATCTTTTGTACGTCTGTGACTTGCAGCAAACCTCAAATGATGTTTTGGATACAGATTTTTTTACCTGCTTCTACTGTTTATAAGAATGAACCTCAAACATTCCTGGGTTGTTTTTCGTTTGATTTTGATATTTAAGCCATAATTGTAAAAATGATTTGGATTTATTTAAAGAATAAATTTTATTACGAAAAGCTCTGTTTCTGTGATGGTTTAACTGGAATCTGTGTGGGGATGGCTCTATCTGGACCGAACCAAATGGTGCTGCATTAACTGCAGTACAGGCCAGTGTGTACAGGGTGAGAGGAACCAGAGATGGAGATAAAACAAGGCGAGTGATTTGAGAGCTTAGGATTCAGTTCAAGTGTTTTAGAGGAGGGGAAGCAGGGGGAAACAAAGCATCATTGCTAGAGCTGGCACTGGGCATCTTCCAGTGGATGGCAAGCCCTGGATGATGGAGATGCTTCCGTAACCTGTGCTTTGCATGGAATCATAGGATGGTTCGGATTGGAAGGCACCTCAAAGATCATCTAATTCAAACGTGTCTGCCTGATTTAGTGCTCCCACCTGGGAGTCCTGGCCAGAGGATGCGAGAAGGTTGGAACCTGGAAGGATTTGGGGAAGATGCTTCTGAAATTGTTGTTTAAAACAAGAACGAGGTCGGGTTTAGTTCTAACACTTAAAAATAAGGTTTGCCTTTAATAGCTCTCATTCATATGGTTTCAAACATATCAAAGGAGAGGCACGTTCCTGTGCGTCACCTCATCCCTCCGGGGTTCTCTGCACGTCTTTGGTGGTGCGCGTTGTCAGAATGATGGTGTCGTGCCACTCCTCAAGGACAAGGGCCTGTTCGGGTGACCTTCTAATGGTGAACTCGTAGGATCTGCCGGGCTTCAGGCTGTGGACCACGCAGGAGTTGGAGCTGACTTGGTAGGTCCTGCCGAATCCCACTTCCAACCCGACTGTCAGGAGCTTGAAGCTCAGCTCGCACTGTTCCAAGTGTGACTCCTGGTTCTCCGTAAACCACTTGAGCCTGGCCCAGTTCTCGAGCGCAAAAGATTCCTTGCGATCAAAAACCACGGGCATCTTGGTATAGAGGGACAGGCTGAAGCTGGGGGGTGTGCTGCCCGTGAGATCCGTGTGGGACACCAGGCTGTGCTTGACGCACATCTTCCCTGGGAACTCCAAGGAGAGGAGGGTTTCCATATACCCAGTGAGCTTGCACAGTTTCTGCCTGATCCTGTCCCACTGGGAGAAGAAAGTCGTCATGTCACAGAACTCCACATAGAAGTTCAGCTCCTGCCGGCCTTGGTGCAGCTGTTCCAACAGCTCCGTTAGCAGCAGCAGCTGGATTTGGGTCTGGGTTTTTCCCATCTTCCGCACCCTCCGCAGCCGCTGGCCGCTTATGAGCTGCAGGATCTCGATGCGATGCATCCCATGGTTCTGGTCTGTCACGTTCACGTATTTGGGCTCAATATCCAAGTAAAAGGAGCACCTCTTCAGGGCACGAACCTTGTTCTGCTGCTTCTGGAGGTAGTGGAGGCTGAGGCTGGAGCGCAGGAACTGCCGGATGAGGCTTCTCTGTCGCACGTACAGATCCCAGGTGCCACTGCCTTGGGCTTCCCTCTGTGCAGTGCTCTCCCAGCTGCTGTTAGGCTCACTGGCAGCTGCAGCCATGACCCCAAAGCTCGGTTGCTGCGTAAGAAGATGGCAATAACAACATCAAGGACCACAGGAAAAGCAGCTGTGAGGGAGTATAACCGTGACTCCTCTCTCTTCAAGCTTAGCTTAACAGTTTTAGATGGGAAAGAGCCATTAAACTCCATGGAGCTCCAGAGGAATTTTCCTTTCTGGTTGGATGCTGATGTTTTGTGTAGTCTGCTTTTCCATATTCCGACTAGCTGGGCTCCTTCTACCCTCCCCCTTTTGAGCATTTCTACCTCTGCTTAATAATATTCACCGTCAGGAGCTCTTCTCTGATATACCCTGCCAAAATTCCTCTGTATCTTATTATCTTCTGTTCCATTCTAATTAGATGCCTTTGTACTCCTGTAAGCAATTGCTTTGCATTCTTTTACATCTCTGGAGATGTCTATTTTTCTCCCTCTGTAATCTGCCAGGCTGTTGCGTTTGAGACCCATCCTCTAAGCCAGGTCTACAGCTACATAATCACCTTGGTGATTCAGATTAACCCTCTGCCCCCCACGTGAGCTGCTATTCAGCAGCCAGAGCCACGCAGTGCGCCTCACAACAGCTTTCAAGAGGAAAGCTGGTGCTTCTCCTTGCTCCTCTGCCTTCAGCAGTGGACTGACAGCCATAACTTAGGGTTTTCGGTGCCTTATTGCTTTCCCTTTCTTAGGTTTTAGCTTATATCATCACCTCGGACCATGATACCTCCTTGCTTTCTTGTAGGATGCTGTTGGTGTCTAAAGGATGTACAGTAAGAGAATGGAACACATGCAAAGCAACTGTGAACAGATCACAGCTGGCTGTTAAGAAGGCGTTTAGGTGATGGTCCTTCCCAATGCCTTATCTGCTGCCCTGACAGAAAGGAGCTAAATAAATGCCCTGTTGTTGGTGATACCATCAGGAGAACCCAGCTTGACATCAAGAGCGTGGCTTTCACCAGCTGCACGCGCTTGGTTTGGAAAGGAAAGACATAGGGAAGCCTGGAAGCAAGTTCTCGTGTCCTGGATCAGCCTGTGCCAACACAACCCAGCAACGGGTAACTCTCCTCCTGTGTGATTTTCTGCCTGTAATTATTGAAGCTGGTGTACCTAAGCGGGGTGTTCCAGCTCTTACCGGTCTGGTGGGAGCTGCCTGGTGCTATCGAATTGGCAGAGCCACTTTTCTTGGCCTCATTTCTCCTAAATACATGACAGAACCAATAGCACTGCCTTGGAGGGCTCTCAAGTGTTTGTAAACCTGTCAGCTGCCTGGCCTTTGCCACGCTGTGATTTAAGCTAATTCACTCATTCACAGCAACCTGTTCTCCAAGGGAGCCGTCGGCCTCAGA